CTCTTATCCACATTAAGTGCTGCAATGGTGCAAGCAGAGGCTTAAGTCATAATACCTGCACATGTACCTTTGCAGGCACAGACATAGACATTTGAACGTATGCAAGTTATGTTGGAAACTACTCCCACCTCCTTATTATGCCTTGGATCTCAACTTTCCTTCCATGAACAGAACAGAGTGATTGTTCACAGAATGAGGTTTCTGCTGCCCCCATTTCCATCTGCAGCACCCTACAGCCCCCCCAAATGCTTTGGGGCACTTGGATACCTTTAGGATTGGGATGGGATATGATGCATGGCACTACATATAGAGGGGGCAGTTAGCAGGAAACTCTCCACTACGTACAGGAATGGAAGATGCCTCCTTCCGGAAGCTCTTGCAGCCAAACTGGTGCCAAATGTATTGTTCTGCTTTCCTTTGGCCCCAGAAAGGTCACTTCAGCACTGCTAATGCAGCAAAAATAACACGGGAGGCAGAGGTTATAAGCTCAACCTGATTGACATAAGGTATGAGCACTACAGGCTGTCTTTATTGGTGGGAGAGATCACCATGTCTCACTGGTCAGGTGCTGCCCACTTTACGCAGGGCAGCCCCCAGTCAACCTTCCACTATCTGCCTGCTTCAGCGGGTGCTTGGAGCTCAGAGTATTACTCAACAAGCAGACCAAACTACTGCACTAGGCACCGTTCAGTGGCACACTGCTCCATAGTCTCTCGAGACAGACTGATGCCAACATTGCAGGAAGGGCTTCCTGTGGTGCATACTTCCAGTGCATGAATACCACCTAGTCATTAGAATTATGCCCAAATCAAAAAAGAACTATTTGCTACCCTTGTTGGGTGTCAGAAATTTCATCAGCACCATTTATGGGTCATTTGAAACTGCAGAAATCAATCACAAATCCCTCGAAAGCATACTAAAGAAACCTCTAACTTCTGCTCCCCCAAGTCTTCAGCACATGATCTTAAAACTGCAACACTGCAACATAAAAGTAACATACAAGCATGGGAAAGCCATTCCCCATAGCTGATCTGCTCTCACACAACTGTGCGGAAAATGTCAATGGGAAGAAAAGAAAGACTTAGAAGAGCATGTGCACATGATATCACACCTGCCTGCAACCACAAACAAACTGGAAGAAATAATGCAGAAAGAAGAGAGAGAATGTAATGAATATCTTGAAAGCTAGTGGAGATAAGTAGAGGATGGTTTAGCAAGAGGCATCAAGTTCCCTTGGCTATAAGAAAATTCTGGAATGATAAGAAAGAATGAACAATAGAAAATGATGCCAAAAGCAATTCCAGAGAAGCTAGAAAGACTCCACAAAGGACACCTTGGGATGGTATTGTGCAAGAGGAGAGCAAGGGATACGCTCTACTGGCCTGGCATGAACAGAAGATGGTTGGAAACAGTTGTACTTGTTCAAAACAACAAAAACAGAACAAAGAAACCATGATAATTAAGGAGATGTCCTGCAGAATCTGACAGCAACTGGCTGTAGCAACTGGCTACAGAACTATTTGAACTAGAAGGAAAGCATTACTTGCCAGTGGTTGATTATTATACTGTAGCTGTTACATTGAAGTAATTGAAAAGCACCTCATCCAGACAAAGGCAGGACGCTCAAGGCATGACATTTGTGATGAATTATTTCCTGACAATGGATCCCAGTTTGAAGAATCCCATGGATTTGCAAAAGAGTGGGGTTTGAGTCACACTACCAGCAGTCCATATTACCCACAATCCAATGCTCTGGCAGAGAAATGTGTTCAAACTGCAAAGTAGATACTGACCAATGTCAAGCAACATTGACAAGATCCATACTATAGGTGACTAAACTACCCATGGAATTGGGATACTTGCCCTCTCAAATGCTAAGGAGAAGAAGGCTCAAATCCAGGATACCTGCCAAAGACTCATTTCTGAAGTCTAGAGCGGCAGATCATCACAGGATTTAACAAAGCTGGATTGACAAAAAAGAAAAACAGAAATTCTATGATAAAAAGCCAAAGTACTGAGACCACTCCTCAGAAATTCAAATGTAATGATACAAAGCCAAGACAGCAAATGACACCCTGGAACAGTCTCAGAGACTTCAGGATATCTCAGGTCATACAGAGTACAAGTAGAAAGCGAACAGTCACTAAGATGAAATTGCAGACACCGAAGATTTACTCCCAGAGTCACTTTTGCAGCTGTAAGAGCAGATGAGCCATAGGGAGAAGCTGAGAGGGATGAAACCATAACTAGTTTGGATACCCCAGCAAGACTGTCCAAGAGGTAATGGCACAAGAACCACAGGAAGAATAACTGTCATCACATGACTCTCCAGAGACAGCAGAAAATATAAGCAACACTCACTCAAGGTAGGAAAGAAAATTCTGCCTAAGCAGCGGAAAGAGTATGTTACACAATAGAAGCAATTATTAGCTCCGTTTGTAATTTGTAAAAACAAACCAATCTCAGAGCAGTTCATTAAAAAAAATAATTATATATTGTCATATAAATATATGGCAGGCAGCCCATTTAAGACAAGCAGTTGTAATTCACTATGCCAGCTTCTGAAGTTCTGATTCAGAGGTGTGTACTGGATGGAGAAGTTGGTTAATACTCCACGCAGGCTCCCGGGCCTCATCAGAAAGTTGTTTTTTAACCATTAATTCAGCTTGTGGTGAGTTTCTATATAAGCAGCTGGCGGCAATACTCATATTGGACTTCTCTTTCGCTCTCTGTAATGTGTAGGTCAATAATGATGGGCTCTATATTCTTTAAGCCTCCCTTTCATAGAAGCCAAATGAGGGCAGTCATCTGCCCGCTGCCACAGCCTAGAATACCTCTGGGAATTATCCTACCCTGTGACATAGTTTGACATAGCAGCAAGGCTTTTGCGGTTCTTGGTTTGGGGAGGGAAAGCGGAGGAACTTTAGTTACCTCACATTTCTGGCGCACATCCTGGGGGCAGGGCACGTGTCCTGGGGGCGTGCCATCCAGCGCAGCCAGGGGGCAGCCGCGATGGCACCCCACCGGCATCATGCTGGGGGCGGTGCACTCCCGCCGCACTCCTCTTCCTCCGCCAGCCAATGGGTACATTCACATCGCCCCAGCTCAAATTCTAATTCACACACCAAATATTGATGCACACACCAAAAGCATCATCATCATCATCATGAAATGTGGCTCAGTGTGTATTTTAAAAAAAAACCTAGATTCTGTGTAGAATGAGAGCCTTGAATCATTTACATGAAGCCACTGAACACCAAAGCAGAGGCAGCTGCTTCTCACTGATGAAGATATATTGTGGCTGTGTTGCCTTCATGCTCAGCATTCCAAGTGGACATTTCAGGGGTAGAGTCTCTCTCTCTCTCTCTCTCTCTCTCTCTCTCACTCACTCACACACACACACACACACACACACACGGGTTACTTTAATTTCTCCCCCCTTTCCTCTTCCCACATGATTCAAATGGCTAAAACTAAAGGGTCTTCGAGAACGGACAAATTACTCTATCTCCTGGTAACCAGCAAAAATAAATAATTTTTTTTTTTTTTTTTTTTTGCAATGGAAACCCTTTTTGAAATGCATGTAAAAATGTAGTTCTCTTTAGTTAATAAGCAAATGATGGATGCATTAAAAAACAATACGTACTCCAGGGCTCTGTCTGAAGCTCCCTGCTGCTTCCCGCTCTTCCCAACTCACAGGACACACCTTTGTATTTGCCTCATCGGCAAGTTCGATGCAGTCGGCAAGTTCGATGCCGTTCAGCACTAAATGAAGGGAGCTTCTTAATCAGCATATAAATGACCACACCTTTTCAGCAATTCTGAACTCAGTGAGGTTATGCCAATGAACAGGACCACTGACCTGGCCTTCGATAGCTCACGTGCCTTAAGGCCCTTATATCAGGGACAGCCAACATGGTGCCCCTTAGAGGTTTCTGGATTAGAACTCGGACCACCCCTGACCAGAATGGCTGGGGTTGATAGGAGGGGCTCCAACAACATTTGGGAGGGCACTACATTGGCTTATGCCTGCCTTATACTGTTCACCGTGCACTAAATGATGTGTTTGAAAGGCGAGACTATTTAAAGAAGTAACAAATGTCTGAATCCACACAGAAGCCTTTATCACACCCACTTGCAGAAACCACAAACTGCTCCATCAGGCACTGCATGCACTTTTGGCATAAAATGCACACACATCTTCTAGTTTCTGGTACTGTAAGCATTCCAAACTTTTCATAACATACAACAGCTCATCTAGCATACAAATGAAGTGACAGAAACGCAACTTATTGATCTCTAAGTGGGAAAAAAACAACCACACCAATCCCCCGCCTCATGAACTTCAGTTCATTTTAATTTGACATTTTGTTTTCTGGTCCGAATCTTTAAACAAAAAAAGAAAAGAAAAGATACACTGGGCACACTCCTAGTGAGGATACTTCCTCCTTGAAACTCAGTGAAATGAGCTGAAAAGAGACATTTAGTGCTTTGCATATGTTGGAACAGTTGGAAAATGAAACAAGCCACTGTGATCTTCCTTACCTTTTAAACGCGAGGGTCTAAAGCCATGTGCAAGTGCTAAAATCAGCACTGTCATCCTGTGTGCTACCCATTAAATGCTGCACGCGGGCACATCAACACACACACATACACACACACACACACACACACACACACACAAGAGCTGTCGGAAGATACTCAGAAATATGCCTATTCTGGTGTCTGGGTATCAGCACCCTCTTTTATAAAGGTTTTCCCCCTCGCATGAACACAGATTTAAGAGAAACGCAGCAGACCCTTCTCTTTCTCTATAAAATGCAATGGTTAAAGATAAAGAGAAGGGCAATCAGTCAGTCTCCTTTATTCTCTATCTCTCTTATGCTAATGCAAATCACTACAAGGCGGCGGGGGGGGGGAGTGTTGGAGAGACAAAAGAAAATGAAGCTTCCCTTCCAGCATTATTCACATTGCAACAGACAGCCCAATTTTGTACTTACAGATCTTAGCAGCCAAACGTCTCAGGATCTTTCGCAGTTTTCTGCCAAACTGCTACAAGCTCTCGGAAAGCCACACTGCTCATCCAGGCAAAACCGAGCCGTGCAGAATGTCCTATGCAGCTGGGAAATAATGGAACTCTTTCCCCAGCTGGGACTGCAAGCCTTTTATCCGCTGAGCATCCTCTATCTCTTGGCTGGGATTAACTGTGAAAGGCATGGCTTTCCCACAGCATCCACGACAAGGACCCGCACCATTAGGGCACAGGGACAAAAATGTGGCTAGCGCTTGGAATGCAGGGATCCAAAAATCCTACACATTTTCAAATTAGTTCTCTACTTGGCTCCCTTGCAATACAAGGACACACACACAGACACACACACACACACACACACAGAGAGAGAGAGAGAGAGAGAGAGAGAGAACACAAAGCTGTATGTCACACCCTCAGCATGATAGATCAAATGTTCTTACCATTTTTTCCACACAGATGTGAGCTCCTGCCAGGTATTAAAAGCTCCTTCTCGTCTTGAAATCTGGGTCACTAACTAATGTATTAAATTTCTAACAGGAACAGGGAGGGTTTTGCCTGGTCCCTGTTCATAAACCTGCACTGTTCACTATAAAGGATTAGGTTTGTCAAGCATGTATCTAAAATAAAGCAATACTCCAGTCCTCATTAAATATTTAATCCTACTATGGTGCGTGTATCTATCTTCTATTATATCTCAACCTGTTTTATATACAGTGTGATGTGTGTGTGTGTATGTGATAATGTTCTTGTCTAAATAATACAGTAGCATACTGACATGCTTCCCATATTAATTATATTTATTTATTTGTCACCTTTCTACCCCAAGCTCAAGATGGCATTCATGATTTCCCTCCTCCCCATTTTATCCTCACAACAACCCTATATGAGGTAGGTTAGGCTGAGAGGCAGTGACTGGCCCAAGGTCACTCACTGAACTTTCAGGCTGAGCGGGGACTTGAACCCTGGTCTCCCAGGTCCTAGTCCAGTGCTCTAACTACTACACCACTCTGGCTCTCCTTATATTACATATATAATATATAGTACAGTCAGTGCTATTTTTCTAGAAAAAGAGTTGGCAGAACTCACCGTAAACACTTCCCTTGTTATCTTATACAGTGGTACCTTGGGTTAAGTACTTAATTCCTTCTGGAGGTCTGTACTTCACCTGAAACTGTTCTTAACCTGAAGCACCACTTTAGCTAATGGGGCCTCCTGTTGCTGCCGCGCCGCCGGAGAACGATTTCTGTTCTTATCCTGAAGCAAAGTTCTTAACCTGAAGCACTATTTCTGGGTTAGCAGAGTCTGTAACCTGAAGCATATGTAACCTGAAGCATATATAACCCGAGGTACCACTGTAATGGCAATGGTGCCCACCTGAGAGGTGCTGGAACTGAGTTCTGGTGAGCTCTGACGGGGGGGGGGTGAGTATAGTATAGTATAGTATAGTATAGTATAGTATAGTATAGTATAGTATAGTATTTATTATATAACCTTATACTGAAAGTTGCATATAGATCTTTAACAATGCAATTATATAGAATTGTACAGAAACAAGTCTGACGGGCTTACAGAAAATTGGTAGTAGGTGGTGGGTGGGTGTGTTTATGCATCACATCATTCTCCCTTGCTCATGGTTCCATGGCTCTGAAAAAATACAGAAGCACTGAAATTCTGTCAAGTGTAAAGGTGTCACTTCTACAAAACAATCCAACAACCCCACCCTCATAAATGTTGACAATCTTATCAAAATCCTGTCAAATTCCTTCAAAATCCCTATGGCTACTTCTCCTGAGACAGGAGCCTCCAAATTCATTGCATTGATGGCAGTCTTCATTCTGTGGAGGAATTTCTGCTGGGAAGGTGCCATACAACTCAGAGGCAGCTTGGACGCCAAAGCTCACAATCTTTGCGCTTAGCTGATAATAGGTGTCCAGTATCCTTTAAGCACTATGTACAAACAAGCAGGGGGCCGTTCCTCACTTTTCAAGGAGGGAGAATCTACTCACTTTCTGTTCCGTCCCAATCCTAAGCGAATAGGAAAGTGAATAGGAAAAAGAAAGTGAAACACACGAACAGTCCAAATACGAAGGCTTCAGCTCCAATCCAATATAATGAGAAATTAAAATGCAACCCTATAACATCCCAGGGCTTATAATAGGGGCACTATCAATGCCTTTTGGATTTCTTTGATGGTGGTCAAAGCTAAAATCGGTGAGTCTTCTTGGATGCTGTGTAAGAGAGGAATTTCCATGCTGGTAAGCATTTGCTGATCATGAAGCTGAGGCTCCAATACTTTGGCCACCTCATGAGAAGAGAAGACTCCCTGGAAAAGACCCTGATGTTGGGAAAGATGGAGGGCACAAGGAGAAGGGGACGACAGAGGACGAGATGGTTGGACAGTGTTCTCGAAGCTACCAGCATGAGTTTGACTAAACTGCGGGAGGCAGTGGAAGACAGGAGTGCCTGGTGTGCTCTGGTCCACGGGGTCACGAAGAGTCGGGCACGACTAAACAACAACAGCAACAACAAGCATTTGCTATGGGTGATCATTTTCAGTATTATTGCATTGTGTCAGGGGTGGCCCCTCTTTGGTGTCCCAGGTGGTACGGGGACAGCAAATCCCATCAGCCCCTGTCAGCATGGATATGGCAACATCTGCCCCAAGGTTAGCCAACCCCATACTATTGATGTAATATGTATGTATGCATGTACTTTCTTGCATTTGTATCTTACCTGTCTTTCGTCATGGGTTTCAAGGGAATGTTGGTGTGGTTCTCAGGTGGTCTACTCAGATCTGCTTTGCTTTAGTACGTGTCAGCCACATATGCCTTCAGACAACACCTTGAGGCCATGGTTGGTATTATTTACAAACTACTTTAAATATCTTGCCCAGATCCTTTGGGTATAGGTGCACTGAGACCACCAGCTTCCTGAAGCTAAGTAGATGTGGTCACTGCCTGGATGGAATGCTATCTGGCACCTCCATGTACGTTGCATTGAGTTCCATCATAGAAGAAAGGTGGATATAACTGTCAGGCTATAAAACTTATAAAGTAATGGATGGATGAGTGAAATAATTATAGGCCAGAAATGGCTCATCCAATGGGGTAGAGCCACATTGCTAGCTTCCTAGCTGTGAGGTTGCTGCTGTTCACTGGGATGGGAAGGTCGGCACATCGCAGGCTTGCTGAAGGAAGTGTCACTTATGCTACAGACTACTAATAAACTTTCAGGTCCTCACAGGCCTTCCACTCAAAAATGGAATGTGTCAACCTGCCACTACAAAAGGATGCCCTCCTTTTAGGAATGAAATAATTTGTATTCACAGTGGAGGGAGGCAGAAAATGAGAGTTTAGAGAACACTTGTGCCAAAAAGAAAGGCCCTGTTTTGAACCCTTCGGCTCACTAAACATTTCTGTGTAATCCCAATGTAAATCCATTAGTTTGTAATAGGATTAATTGCATGCCTGCCTGAACAATAAGATATGGAGAAGAAATGGAGCACTGGCAACAAGAGATACACGTGTGCCTTTCAGACCCAAAATGACAGGCTGGTAAATAGAACCCAGGAAGGCTTTTATGGTATGAAAGTAGAGCAGATTTATTCCAGTCATATAAAGAGAAAGGATATAAGTTAACCTATGGAATAGGGGTTATTCGAGTTTCTGATGCTGACCAGAGTATGGAATAGAAGAGGCTGTGGAAATACCAAAACCTCAAATTCTAGTGTAAAGGTATATTCTGATTCCCTGCTTACAATGTATTGGGCTTGGTAGTGGTGGGGGTTTGATCAGCTGTCTGAGTTTTTTAAAGGTACCAATCGCATAATGTATCTGTAGGCAATATGAACCTCCAGTATATAATGATCTGTTGAAGTCAGTGTGGTTAAAGGGAGTTGTGACAGTGATCTTAGTGGGCTGCCATGCAAAAGGTGGAGAAGACTTGTTCTCTGTTGCTTCAGAAGTTATCATTAGAATCAATGGGTGGAAACTTCAGGGAAGGAGTTTTTGGCTAAACATTAGCAGAAACTTCCCAACTTAACAGCTTGTTGACAGAGGCATAGTTTGTCTTTGGAGATAGTGGGCTCTTCTTTACTGGAAGTATTCAAACAGCAGTTGGGTGGCCAGGGAAGCTATAGTTGCATTTGTATATTGCAGATCCTTCACTGAGCATGATGATGGGGTGATGTGTAGGGTTTCTCAATGACCTACTTTATGGCTACGCACCTTAGTAAAAGTTTGTTAACATCCAGCATCAAGTGATCTATGAACATCCATAGAGAAGACTGTGTTGAAGGAACAAACATGGGCATGGTTAAGTTGCTGGATTCTCTTTGAGTTCCAGATGACACAGAACTCTCTAAAATGAAGGCTATTGTGGGGGAACATGGACACACTGCCACACTGGGTTCTCCCAGAGCCCTCACAAACAGGTATGAAAACAGAATAAGATAGAGCCATCAAATCTAATCAGATTTTGCCTCTTAAAGATTCCAGTCTTTGAGGGTTTAGGACTCTAAAAAGCAAATTCAAAAGATGTATCGTGTGAAGTTTAATTAGATTGGATCTAGGTAGGGACAGAGTATTTGCCCTTGTCCTCGTTAGCAGAGAAAAGCTGGTTTATGTTTACATCTTGACTTGCCCTGTGAGGTCAGTTCTGCACTAGAACTGCTATTTCAGACAAAATGGAAAATTGCGTGGTCAAAGGGTTAGGTAGACACTCCAATATGATTTTAGAATTTGGCAATCTTAGCTACAGCTGGCATACAAAGGAGCAGTTTGATGAAGCAGATTCGCTGCTTGGCCTCCTCTCTTCATGGTCTCAGGATAAAATCAACCCTGTCCTGTAGAAGGTTGGCTAACGAGCAATAGATTTTGGGTGTTGGTGGTGAACGAAGCTGTATTGAAGCATAGCTATAAGCATAATATATATATATATATATATATATATATATATATATATATATATATATATATATAAAATGTCCAGTAGTTGGTCTCCAAGTTAAAAAATTAACTTACTTCGTCTCTAAGGTGCTACTGGACAATTTTTTTATTTTATTTTTTTATTTCGACTGCCTCAGACCAACACGGCTACCTACCTGAATCTATAAGCATAATGTTTGTTTTTTTTTTTTTTATAAAATTTTTATTGGTTTTAGAAACTTTTTAAACAAAAAACAAACAAACACCAAAAATGACAAACATACACGTATAGTTTCAAACATATTTTCATAAACTTCTTTCCTTTGACTTCCCCATACCCCCCCTCTCTGCATCCCAATGTCCAAAGTTCAACTAGCAACTCCCAATTGTTATTTACCAATCTCTATCTTCTTAGACCTTTTTTACATT